CGTTTTATGAATCTAAATCTAAATCTAAATGCGAGTAAATCGCCAGAACACCGACACCTCCTCATCACTCCACCGCTCACATGTTTTTGTTTGTGTTGCCATAAGTTAGTCTCTCTCCGTTGGTGCGCTGGGCTAATGCTAAGAATGCTAATGCCAGCAAATATAATGGCTGCTTCACAAAACTTTTCCCAGTTTTACTGGGCGTGGTTTGCAATTCGCCCAGCCAATCAGAAATTGGAACCTTTTTCTCCCCAGGAAAGTCCCTGGGGCCTCATTTATAACGCTGTGCGTAGGATTGATTGATTGATTGATTGAAAAGTTTATTAACAGCTTGTATATTGGGTACAGTACAGTACAGCTCAAAACATACAATTGTTAAGGGGATGCAGACCAGAGAAAGACTTTCGTCTTGTTTACATCAGGGTCCCCCATCAGGATTCACGTGGGAAGTTTGCTTACGTAGTAGAAATCCAAAAAATAGGTACAGAAATTTTCCGTCATTTTCCGATTCACCAAACATTGCGTACCGGCGAGGAAAGTGCGTACGGCACTTCCTACGCCAGTTTCCCTTTATAAATCACAATTTTTGTATGCAACTATATATCCACCAGTTAAAGGAAATACAACGAATGTGTTGTGTTGTATTAGCTGTACAATAGTTTCCATACCTCCTGTGTTTTACGAGCGACTTATCAAGTCTTGGCAAACGGCATAAAACATGATTAAACATGATAGTAGGCCTATATAAAACCATGCTCGTATCTACAACCTATAGGCGTCAGTTTAGACGTAATTCTGTCCTCCTGCTTACCGCATCATTTATGAGAAAACATTTCAGAACATTAACACAACATATTCCAGGTGGTTTTAAATAACATATCCGTATTTATTTATTTCTCCAAGTTATGTTTTTGTGTGCACTGAGGAGTCTCAAACAGGCGTTTGTTTAATCATTTTAAGATTGGCTTTAATCAATGTTTGAAAATGAATTCTTCATATATGATAAATGAGGTAACATTTTATTTATGGTATTATTTCCACACATTTCTCTCCATTCTTCCTTCTGCCAACGGTGTCGCAGTTTCTCGTCTCTCCCGTTTTTGTGCTTAGTGCGTACGCATGAGTTAGAGTTTGCGTGGAGGACCGCACATTTTCCCGCCAAGTTAGTATTTTATAAATCGCAAACATTGCGTAGAAACTGGCGTACGCCATTTTTTAGCGTATATCCCTTTATAAATGAGGCCCCAGAAAACGGACTATTAGGTGTGAATGCACCCTTAAATTTGTTATCCAACTCTTGATCAATCCAATCATAAATACTTTGAATATGCTGTGTAACAATGTCTCTTCGGTAAAAGTCCTTTAAATCTACTTCTATTTAACACTGATTTATCAGACTGGTGTCACACAGAAACATGTTTTGGATGCAGTCTATGTGCATTTCTGCATCGTTCTACATGATCTAAGATGCTTAAACGCACCACAGAAATGTGATGTTGATCTCTATTCTATGTTATTTGTATTCACTTGCACTATTTCATCAGTTATATTGTGTTGCACTGTTGGAGGAGCCTGTGACCTAAGATTTTCATGACATATCTACACTATAGCTATGTACACATGACAATAAAAGCCTTGAATCTTTGAGCATGGAAGTCCTACTAAAAGAGCAACACAGGTCAGGTCAATATATCTCCACGATTATCTGTGCAGATTCTTTTATGACTTAATAGGCAATAAGAATGGAAAGAGGTTGCAGCAGCTTAACCTCTGATACATTGTACCCCTCATTTTGTCTGAAAGGAGTGAAATTATACAAGCAGGCCGGCTTTAAGCTGCAGAGTCAATATAAAGTCACTTTGGTGTCCTCATCAGAATCACTCAGTCATCATGAAAATGTAGCAGAATAATTAAACTGAGGTCTTATTATAAATGGCCAAACATTTACACACATATCAGTTCAATGATAAGTCTCTTGAAATGTGTTTCCTTCATTTTATACCGGCTTTTTATCATTGGATGTACGTGATGTTGGCATGTCCCACACACTGCTCTGCTAAGTGTGTACAGTGGTTAAATCATACTAAATAAAAAAATATATATATGGTTTTATTGTCCACAACAAGTTATTAGAGAAAACGAGTCATTTTGATTATGTATATTCTATTTTCATAATCATATTGGACATTTTGCATGTGTCCCTGAAATTGCTGTCCTGTCATTATGGGGTAACTGCCCCTATAAGAAACCCTCTGATGTTTTCAGTAACATATGCATGTCTTTCTTCAATGGAGGCTGAAACAGTGGTTAGTTGCAGAGTAAGTATTTACACTGATATTTCGTAAATTGTAATCATATTATGTGCAGAATGAATCTTGTATCACTTAATAGGCACTAAGAATGGAACAAGGTTGTTGCATTTTACCCCTCACTTTGTCTGAAAGGAGTGTGAAATTATACAAACCAGGCCGGCTTTAATCTGCAGAGGGCATACGGCTCTCAAACCCCTCTCTGATGGTATTATCAGCACGCCATTGCTCTGCGTTCATCACGGGCTAATTTTGTGCTAAAGAGCTGTCTGGCTCAGGTCACATGGTTCCCTGCTGTCAGGCCTCTGTGCCCCCCGAGGGTCCCCCTTCTGCTGCTGGCCCTCCACCATCTGGAGCCTCAGTCCTCTGCAGGACAAGCGGAGGAGGAGGAGGAGGAGGAGGAGGAGGAGGAGGAGGAGGAGGAGGAGGAGGAGGAGGAGGAGGAGGAGGAGGAGGAGGAGGAGGAGGAGGAGGAGGAGGAGGAGGAGGAGGGGGTAAGATGTGGGATGAGGAGGGACCCTGGCTCCATTTTTTATAAGAGCATGACAGAGTTTTGCTAAATTAATTGATTGTAAAAAAAATCAGGCGGGAAATAAAAGAATTAAAATTAGAAATGGTTGTTCCTCATGAGAATATGCAAAAAGTATGAAATGTGTTAAAAATTCCAATAAAATTATGTTTTTTTTACTGTACGATAACTGGTTTTACACCATACAAAGTACTTTTAAAGTATTTTTATTTTAATGTCTGAACACATTCATGCTTCTTCTCTAATAAAATAATTTCCCAAATTAGGATCAATAAAGTATCTGTCTATCTGTCTATCTGTCTATCTATCTATCTATCTATCTATCTATCTATCTATCTATCTATCTATCTATCTATCCATCTATCTATCTATCTATCTATCTATCTATCTATCTATCTATCTATCTATATATCTATCTATCTATCTATCTATCCATCTATCTATCTATCTATCTATCTATCTATCTATCTATCTATCTATCTATCTATCTATCTATCTATCTATCTATCTATCTATATATCTATCTATCTATCTATCTATCTATCTATCTATCTATCTATCTATCTATCTATCTATCTATCTATCTATCTATCTATCTATCTATCTATCTATCTATCTATCTATCTATCTATCTATATATCTATCTATCTATCTATCTATCCATCTATCTATCTATCTATATATCTATCTATCTATCTATCTATCTATCTATCTATCTATCTATCTATCTATCTATCTATCTATCCATCTATCTACAGAGTGGGGATTTCAGCTTTATGGAATTGCAATATACAAAACACGTAATGCAACCTATGCATATTTAACATGAGCACTTCATGAACCCAGCACCTGAAGGCACCTCATTCACATATTGCTGAATCAGTCATAAATTCATCCCACTGTTAGAGATTAGAGGAGGGACCAGGCCATGTGATAACAGCAGGTCGAGGGGAACAGTACGACCTCTCCTGGCATGCAGAGGGACAGATGGTGGCTCTGGGGTCATCGTCAGATCTAAATAAAGGAATTCAGCACACTACATCCACAGTACTGTACCTTTAAATCAGAATGAAATGATAGGAAACATGACATTGGGATATAGACTTTGTATTGTAGGTCTTTCAATTACAGCTTTTTAATAATGTAGGCTTTTGTGAAATGGATAAGTACTAACAGCCAGGTTAAGGCTTATCTTAATGTGACATGTACCTGTTTGTTTAGAAAATGCTTGAAAATGCATCCTAAATGCTGGAATAAATACATAATTTTGCACATTTGCTATTTTTAAAGTGTTGTTGCATTTAATGCCAGCAGATGGCAACATTACTCTTGTCTGTAAATTGTGATTCACCATAGAAGAAAACACAAAAATACGTCAAAATGTATATTTATTATTGCAGACTTAAATTATGTTTATCGTTTAAATTGACATGTGTTCTATTTATTTATGTTTTTTTTAAGCACCTTGCATGTCCTTGTGTTGAAATGTGCTTTATAAATAAAAGTGGCTTGATTTGCCTTATGTGTTCTTCTACAGTTTACTAAAATATCCTTAACTTTTACTGATAATAATACATTTGTGCAACTGCGAGGTACAGTTTTTTGTTATGGTTGTTAACGAAGAGCAATGCGAACTAACACGGAAGTAGGGTGGGAGTGAATAATCTCACTACACCTCGCTACTCTTTGACCATAAAGGGATCATAGACTGTAAAAAAGGGATTCATAAATTCAATAAATTCATAAATTGTGTTAAAATGTGCTACATAAATAAACGTGCCTTACCTTGCCTTACGTTCTCCCGTTACAGATTACAAAAATATCCTTCGTTTTACTGATAATCATCCATTTTGCAGTCTAACTTTATATAGGTAGGCTACTCATAACTCTGTAAACAATCATGTTAGGTCCAAAACCGAGTACAAAATCTTCGTTAAATCAATTTATTTCAATATATTCCAATACACTGAAAAACGATGTGCTACTTTGCTGTAAAATCATTTCTGTTGACAATTAAAAATACAAGGAAGACAATTATTTCGCTTGTTGTTAACGAAGTGCATAACGAACGTGGAAGTAGGCGGGAGTGATTAATCTTGAGGCACCTCGCCACTCTTTGACGATAAAGTGAGCCGTTGGTCGACATTTTGAGCACAGCATCATCAGCGCTGACGTGAGCAGGGCTGTCATTACTGTAGTGACGAGTCAAACTACGTATTATTCGGTAAGTCACTGCAAAGCTGTCACAATTTCTCTCACCGCCTCTCGAGAAGATTCTATGTGCAAACACGTCTAAGAGGCCACACTTTGCATTAAAACTGTACTTTAACAACATGAATCAGCGAGTCAACACGGAGTTAAAAACATTTTCTCAGGCTGTTTCCTTTCTGTTCAAGTTTACAGAGACGCGTCAAGTTAGAGAAAAAGAAGATGGAGACCGGAAGTTGCCTTTTCAAAATAAAAATATTTATCAACGAATTTTGTTCCAAATTCGTTTTAGATATAACTTTGGTTGTGTCTAAATAGTGTCAATAAAATTATATACAGTGTCACATTATATGCTAAAACCGTAAAAAAAGAAGTGGAAACTTTAAAAACGTTTACTACTCAACTACATTTATTTTACAGATGTATTATTTTTTGACACAAAATAAAAGGGAAAACCTTTCAAATATACGAATATTTGTCATTGATTCAACCATCCAACATTATATTTAGGTAACTTTACCATGAGTTACCACAGATTTTGCTTTATTTTTTACTTTATAAGGCATACTTTATGAATCCCCTGACTTTCCTCTATTGGAGATAAATAAAGAATGCCTTCTTCTTGTTCTTGTTCTAATTTGTAATCTCTTTGATTACATATTTGCATTATCATATTTCGCTCTCTTAGTTCCGGATAGTAGACAACATTATTTTGAGAAAGCGTTAGAACAAACCTTTATCAAGCCCTGTGGTTCAAAATAAGGGCCCCACATGTGTTCATTTTGGAAATAGTTGGACTACGACCTCCTGGTTTTTGTGAAGTTGGTGTTGACATCGGTCTTTGTGACCTATACCATTAAAACTAAGTCAGTATATAAACTATGTGTACATTCAAACACGTAAAACCATTTGATCCCTTCTCCCTCTCATCACTCGAGTGTGTAACGTTATTTTAGTCTGCCAGCCCCTCCGGGTGCCTGCCACACAAAATGAGCATGAGGAATGGATTTGTCACACACTGAATAGACAATCGGTGCCAACAGAGATCTTCATTCAGATTTATTTGACTCACAAGCAAACCCTGGAGTCTATTGGACTGAATTGAAAGTGTCCTCATTGTGTTCAGCTATTCTGACAACATAGTTCATGGAAAGATCTCAATTAACATATATTATTATTGTGTTTTTTAATAATGTTTTAGAATCAGACTCTGGGAAATGACCACATTTTTTTTACTTTAAATTCCACTGAACTTTGGTTCTTGACTTGTTGGAAACACAATTGAAACCTTACATGCAATATCAATGAAACAGACGAACTGATGAAATAACTACTTTGAGGTGGCTCAGAAAACAAAGACTAGAAAACCATTTATATGCAATATAAACACTTGTTTGTAATTGTACAGTGCTTTAATCACTTTATGTAAATAATACATTTGTTTCATAAATGTCCCCAAACGTATTTTGTATGTCCCTATACTTTAATATGCTATTTATATCACTCAGTTTACTTAATTTGCTGCTACACATTTTTGTTGCCATGGTTATGTACATATTTGTCTTTATTTGTTTTATTTGATACCAATGTCTGCTTTTATATTGCTATTGCTTGCCTTTTTTTACCTGCTATGCCACTTTTGCTGTAACACTATATATGTCCCTGCTGTAGGACTAATACAGAAATTCTGATTCTGGGTTGATCTCTGAAAAGACAACATTAGGAATGTGTTTTTCTGTCAGTTTGTCTATAGGTGAGGGACTATGGACGCCTCAGTTTCTCCTCAGTTGGACGGCAGTTTGAAGGACTCCGATGGAGAGGAGAACCACAGTGACGACAGTTCCTCTTCTGCAGATCCTGCTCAGGTAGACAAAGTACATTTCATTTACAGAGAAGGGAGAAGGTCCTGCAGGGCGTCAGTGTCTTCTCACTTTATACATTTTCATCTATAGAGCACTTTTTAGGGTACTCAAAGACACTTTACATGCAAACATTTATTAAAAAAACAACATTAAAACAACACACTTGGATGTTCATGGAAAATGTGTGTAAAATAAGTTCAGCATATCATGTTTAGCTTATGATACAACATTACTATAATGTTTTGACTGAAGATGAAGTTCTGTACTTTTACACCACATAATGTTATTGCGGTAATATAGTTTTGACGTCTTTGTTTTTTTAAAGCGTGATGGTCTGGGTTTGTGCCTCCAGGTGTCGGTGGAAGGAGGGTCTCCAGGAGTGACGGTGGTCCAGCTGTGTGACGGTCAGATGCTTCAGGTCCACGGGGTGATCCAGGCCCCTCAGACCTCCGTCATACAGGCCCCACCCGTCCAGACCGTCCAGGTGAGAGCATCAGACGCATCGGCCATGATCTGGACCAGCTTCAAATTATTATATATTTTTTCATACTTTATTTTTAAGTTGTTGACACATTACAACAAAAACATAACAAACAATATATAGGTAATCAGAGGCAATACATTACATGAATATGTTCACAGCAATTAGTCCAGTACCATGGGGCACCGTCCTCCAAAACGGGCTCACAACAAATGAGTGTTGATTCCAGTCCAGCATAAGAGGCTAGTAGATATATGTACAAAACAATTGTATGGTGGTCATGCAAGCAAATCGCACACAGGAAATCAAGAATCAAGTCATCGAGGACATGTTCTGGATATTTCTCAAGTCTCAAGTATTTTATTTGAAAGGATTTGACAACAATCAAGATGAGTCTCAAGTCATTCACGCCAAATCTACTTTAATCTACATGGAACTGAACCCATTATACAGTATACATGTAATCTCCCTTCAAAGCCACCAGACTCCATTGACAAAAACTACACTTCAGCTCCCAGAACTAAAAACCTTTATTGAGTTCATTAACGTGGCTTTTGTCTTTTATGGCGCATTTCTACTACACGGCCTCGCTCGGCCTCGCTTGGTATGGCTAGGCCTCGTTAGGACTGGCTCACTTTATGGCGCATTTCCATTACAGTTTAGGAACTGGGGTAGTATCTATAGTAACGCAGTGTAGGCGGAGCCGTGACGTCATCTTCAATGAGAACCCCAGAAAAACAACACAGCCGTTAGCTGTTAGCACTCAAGCTCACAGCTCCTCATACCTGTTCAGAAACTAGACAAAAGTTAAACAAGTACAAACCACAGACTGTCTGTGGGCCGTTGTTGTGAGTGTGGACGGTCGGAGCATATACAATGTTAGCTTAGCCCAGTGATTCTCAAATGGGGGTACGCGGACCCCTAGGGGTACTGCAGGGGGTACGTGAGATTTAAAAAAAAAAGTTAATTAAAAAAATACCATGCATGATTACAAAAATAATCTTAGTACAAGAAGTTAAATAGAAAACACAATTTTATATAAAATATTCCTAGAACCACCAAGAGGGTCCTCATATAAACATGTCAAATTGGTGTATTGTATTTTATAGTTTTGCATAATATATCATTTTGTTCATTGGTTTGTTAAACAGATATTACTTCAGTTGAAAAAGTCCTTTTTTATTTTTTCATGCATAAAATGAAAATATCCTTAGTTTGTTGTAAAGGAGTGAATACATCACACACTGAGGGAACATCACTATATTGGAATTATTTGTATAGGCTTTTTCGATCAAACATTTTCGGGGTCGGTCAGGGGGTACTTGGCTGAGAAAATGTTTCAAAGGGGGTACATGACAGAAAAAAGTTTGAGAAGCACTGGCTTAGCCAAACTCCATTTAGACAACGCGCATTTTAAAAGGTTTTTCGCCAGCCTGTCTGTCTGCAGACTTGTCAAAGCACTAATTCATGGTTTTTACTAATCGGTATCAGTATGTTGTTACTTCGGCATCATTTTGAAACGTGTATTACAATTAAATCACGGTCAAATATGTTCATCTTGTTGTAGTTGTAGCCCCCTTGCCAGTGATTCTTTCTCTAGTTTAGCATGCTCAGCCCGACTCAGCCTGGTTGTTCCTGGCCCTAGAACCACAATTTTATGGGGCCAGAAATCTGTGAATTAGGACCCGCTAGCCGGTACTAGGCCAAGTGGAAACGCAACCAAAAACGGGTCCAGCACGGCTCAGCATGCTTAAAGCGAGCTCCGCGCTGCAGTGGAAACGCGCCATTAAAGGACTAGTTAGGACTTTGTTTCTTGAAATGAAGGGCATGCCAACCTCCATCCACAATGGGTTATACACGAACAATGGATAAGTACCTTATACGACCCCACTTTAAAACATCCAAACTATCCCTTTGAGTCTCAAGCCTGTCACATCATGTCTGAAGCTAAAGAACAAAGACATGGGAAGTCCTCATGTTAATGTCTTGAGTTTTATTTAAGAACAGTTGTCTACAAAAATGGAAGTTGTGATGTCAAAGTGAGTGTGATAGTGAATGAGTATTTACATACCAGTTATGCAGAGTATGTGTTAATAGGATTGTTGATGTGTATGAGGTTTAAGCTCCTCAGTCTAACCTTCAGGAGATGTTGCTTCTGGGCAGGAGAAACTGGGTAACACTGAACAAAAGTCACTATGAGATTGTTCTACTAAACAATGTGGAGGTGTTTCAGTATTTCCAGCACTTGAAAAAAATAGTTTTTGGATGCGAAATGATTTTTTTTTCCCTGTTGCGGGTATAGACAGGCAGACGCACTAAAACAATACTGCTCCACTTCTGCTTGTTTCACCTTTTTTTGCGAAAAGACAGGCGAAAAACAGTCCAATCGGGAAGAGTAGTGCAAGTGCGATTTCTGATCTGAAGTAGCGTAGAAATTGCGACAGCAAACCTAGTAGAAATGGGGTCAACACCTTACACTGTTCCTACACTGCCCCAAAATCTGTGACCATGTAGCAGCAGATTTTCTCACATGTGCATCTTGATTTGCAGAGCACAGGATACTCTGTCGTTTCATGAAAAGAGTATCTATGTAAATAGGTCACAAGGCAGATCAAAGCTGTGAACTAAGTGAAAATGCAGACGTCAACATCAAAGTGGTTTTGTTGACTGATTTCCAATTACTCTGTAGCTCATATCAGTGAGTTTCATCAATAACAAGTTCCATTTAACTGTGGTATTGGCTGATATTTCACAGTGATATTTAAATTGTCATAGAAATGAATACCCTGTGTCACTGACTCAGTAGTGTTAAACCAGTTTATTATTTGCTTTCAACATTTGGAGGCGGATTCCCAGGCAAAAAATAGTTGGAAACATGACACAATTAATCTCATTTTGCTTCTTTTATCAACTTCTGCTTTGCGATGGTAAACCTGACAACCATATGCTTAACTTCCACTCCCATAATTATCAATAAAAGCATGTATTTATCCTGGCATCCATCAGACTCCTCCTTTGTTTGGCACAGACATTGTCGTTTAGCAGGGCCAAAGCAGCCTTTGTGTTGATAACGCACAACAACTACGCACCAGTGTGAGTCATAAAAGCTTACTGATTCATGACAAGTAATCATTTCCAAATGCATGCTTGTTATTGTTCCAACAATACCCTTTGGGTCACTTTGACATGAGCTGCAAAGACTCTGTTGAGAATTGTTTCTTTGACGTCATTTCTTATGATAAATACATCCCAGTTTACTCACAAACGTCTGTGTGGGAAAGCAACACTTCAGTGATAGCATAAATCACCAGAGAGGTTGCCAAAATTCCTAAACTATATTGGACTACTTTTAAATTCTGCGTGTTTTTATGTTTCAGATTGCCAGTGTAGCAGAGCTGGAGCCCGACCAATCAGAAACAGACACTCAGAAGAGGCGGGTGCTTCTCTCCAGGCGTCCGTCTTATCGGTGAGAGACGTCAACATAATGATGAAAAAGCACAAAGTGTGTGAAGAGTTACGTCTTGATAATGTTGAACTGTCTCTGTGGACTCACTTCATTTGACCTCTCTTCTCTTGCAGAAAAATACTGAATGAGCTTTCATCGGATTCACCGGCCGTTGCTAAAATCGAAGAGGAGAAGATGGAGGAGGAGGAGGTGGTGGTCTCTGCTGCCGAAGCAACAGTGCCCACCTCCATCTACCAGACCAGCTCAGGACAGTATAGTCAGTACCAGTCAATCAAACTTCATTCATATAGCACTTTACAGAAAAGGCGCTTCACAACCAAGAACAAAAAACTACATAAAATCAATACTACTCCTCCCTTCCCAGATAATAATCCAAGTATCATATAATTTACAGATTGATAAAAACACTTAATGAGGCCGTATTATTATTTTTAGGGGTTTTCCTTTCCTGTAGTCTGTTAAATAGGTTTGTGTGCATGTAAATGGTCTGGAAAGGCTAAAATCCCTATGTTTCTCTCCCACACCCCCCCCCCCCCCTCCCTGGACTCCTTTGTTTACTGTCAGAACATACTGACATAATTAATAACATGGCTAGCGCTCCAACACATTGTACGTGATAGACTAAGGGGCGGGACATCTCTAAGCGGTTGATCAATCACAACAGAGCAGGCCAGCTAACCAATCAGAGCAGACTGGGCTCTGGTTTCAGACAGAGGGTGAAAAGAGGTGCTGCAGCACAGGCAGTATGAGAAAAATAAAGAGCTTTTTGAACATTAAAGCATGGAGACATGTCACAATAGCAATATTACAGGGTCCCCGTGACCCAGCATCAGGTCAGTGTCACCATGTAAATATTTAATTTCCTGTAAAAAGTAGCAAGGTAGACGAGGCCTTCGGCTAAATCGCAGGTTTTTAATCAGTTCACTAAATGGCTCCGAATACAAAAGTAATCAGCCTTGGTGCTGTTGCCATGGTGAACATGCATAACAACCACAAGCACAAATCCAAGCTCCAGCATATTCCAAAAGCCCTGTTGTGTTAATCAGGACAGAAAAATAATCCATTTTATTTGCTGCACTTGCCCTGAGCAGGAACACATTTTTAAGCCTGGAGACGAAATATGTCCTGCTTCAATTCTCCATCAGAGTTGTGATTTATTTCTCTCATAAAGTATATTACTGCTGGCTTATAAAATACTCTGGTAAAAGTAGAAGTACTGACTAAACTTCTTTACTCAAGTAAAAGTAAAGAAGTATGGGCTTCTAAATGTACTTAAGTAAAAAGTACCCATAACTAGCAGCTGTTTTAAAGAGTACCTGACCTCCCTTTATATTAATAGAACAACAATGTCATTGTTAGCTAATGAATGTTTCCATGCTGAACAACGGCAACATGACAACGTTTCCATTGGTCCCTCTTTAGAGAAGACCAGGGTTCCAAAAATCAGCTCCTATCGTCTATCCCTATCTCCTTTTCCTTGACCTCTGAGTGAAACGTCACGGGGTTAAGGGATAGTCGATAGGAGAATTCAAAAGGACGTAGGAGAAGAGACTGCGGTACTTTAGAGAATCCGAATGCACTTTCACTATCCGACGTGTTTATGATGCGCCAGCGGACGTCATGAATGTGCGTCTGCTGCTGTGGGGTAACCATGGAAACTACAGTTTTCTATACGGCGGACTACAACATGGATGTTTAATAAGAACGAGGGACTACTGTAAACTCATCTAGAGACTCTGCACCGTGCTCTGATGCTGTTGCTTTATGCTTTATGAACGGGGACAACAGAGAAACATATTCTTCAGGACCAAAGTTGGAATTTAAATAAAAAAGGAAAGTGAAACTTATGCTCGTCACCCTCTCCCTCCGGTCCACATTAATACAAATGATCCCAATACGTATGATTGTATGAACTATGAAAATATCTTAAAATCAATACAAATACTATTTATTATAAACGTTAGTCCTTAACATCTATCACTGTGTATATCACCATTCAAACATCTTTTAAAAGTTGAACAAACCCCACACAGCTCAGTAAAGACTGTGAGATGTTGACTTTATTTGATCATTTCGTGTCATAAATAAACGTTCATATTTCTCTTTTTGATTATAATACTGATGAACATTCAAAACAAAGCACTTTGGCAACTTACCACATAAGTTTTAAAATGCTTAATAAGCACCGTAACTTTCATGATATCATTTCTCGGTCATAATCGGTTGTTTTCGTGAACGACCGACTGTTGTGTGGCGGCAAATGATGCGGCCGCAAGGCATTGTGGGGCAGCACTTTCTCCTCTCCTTTCGTCAAGGGAGGTCCAGTGGTTCCTAAGCTAAAGGAGGTTATAAAGGAAGTTTGAAACCTCCTTTCCTATCATCTAGAATTCGAACAGCACTTATCACGGCTGCCACTGAGGGACGTCTGGGTAATTTCACTCCGTTAGGAAGGTTCCTAAGCTAAATGGACTATTCGACTTCAGCCCAGGAAATGATGGATACACGGATCGTGTTCAAATCAATAGGCACGCAATGACTCTAAATAATAATGATCACGCCACCAAACACACATTCAAACTAAAGGAACCAGCCTGTTTGGAAAATGTAATAAGTAGAAAGTACAGGTATTTGTGTTCAACATGTAAGAAGTAAAAGTAAAAAGTCGTCAGAAAAATAAGTAGTGGAGTAAAGTACTGATACCAGAAAGATGTACTTAAGGACAGTAACAAAGTATTTGTACTCCACTACTTCCCATCTCTGACTGCAGTTTAGTAATCACTGACCTCTGACCCCACACAGTTGCGATCTCTCAGGGGAGAGCCATCCAGTTGAACCCCGGAGTAGAGGCCCTTCAGGGGGGGGGGGCCCAGACCCTGACGGTGGGTAGCTCCTATCCAGCCGGAGACGCCCAACAGCAGATCTTCATCCAGGGAGGACAGATGCTCCTCCAAGGTAGGACTCAGATGATTTAAAATGTCATAGGTCATGAGCAGGACCTGCGAACTCACGCTTGCTATTTCTTGTCATTATAAACGTGATTTATTTCTGGTTGTTTTGTACAAAAAAAGCATTTGTTTAAAACAATGAATCCAATATCACGGATGCTGATGACGATGACCTAATATTTAATTTTTAAGAAAAATTCACGCTAGATGGGGTAGGACCGGTTTATTCCCTAGGGTCAAATTGGGAAGGGGTGAGATGGGAAAGGGGCGAAGTGGCAAGGGGGCGAATTGGGAAGGGGCGAGATGGGAATAATTTAGGGGCAAATTGGGAAGAGGTGAGATGGGAAAGGGGCGAAGTGGCAAGGGGGCGAATTGGGAAGGGGCGAGATGGGAATAATTTAGGGGCAAATTGGGAAGAGGTGAGATGGGAAAGGGGCGAAGTGGCAAGGGGGGGCGAATTGGGAATCATTTAGGGGCAAATTGGGAAGTGGTGAGATGGGAAAGGGGCGAAGTGGCAAGGGGGCGAATTGGAAAGGGGCGAGATGGGAATAATTTAGGGGCGAATTGGGAAGGGGCGAGATGGGAAAGGGGCGAAGTGGCAAGGGGGGCGAATTGGGAAGGGGCGAGATGGGAATAATTTAGGGGCGAATTGGGAAGAGGTGAGATGGGAAAGGGGCGAAGTGGCAAGGGGGCGAATTAGGAATAATTTAGGGGCGAATTGGGAAGGGGTGAGATGGGAAAGGGGAGAAGTGGCAAGGGGGTGAATTGGGAAGGCGCGAGATGGGAATAATTTAGGGGCAAATTGGGAAGGGGTGAGATGGGAAAGGGGCGAAGTGGCAAGGGGGCGAATTGGGAAGGGGCGAGATGGGAATAATTTAGGGGTGAATTGGGAAGAGGTGAGATGGGAAAGGGGCGAAGTGGCAAGGGGGCGAATTGGGAATCATTTAGGGGCGAATTGGGAAGGGGTGAGATGGGAAAGGGGCGAAGTGGCAAGGGGGCGAATTGGGAAGGGGCCAGATGGGAATCATTTAGGGGCGAATTGGGAAGGGGCGAGATGGGAAAGGGGCGAAGTGGCAAGGGGGCGAATTGGGAAGGGGCGAGATGGGAATAATTTAGGGGCAAATTGGGAAGGGGCGAGATGGGAATAATTTAGGGGCAAATTGGGAAGGAGCAAAACGGGAAGTGGCGAAATGGGAAGACAGACACCGGTAGGACCAGAAACATTGTTAAGCTTCTTCTTGCCCCTTTTGAACATGACAGAAACTATCTGAGAATTATTTTTTTGTATACCTTGAACGTTTTTTTTATTTTGCTTCTCTTTGTTATAATTATTTGTTCTAACATGTTCAATAAATTGACTAATAATAATATACACCTCAAGAACTGCATTGTGGAACATGGAAGGAACCTGATTACTTCCATGAGGAATAACATGTATCCCTGCGCTGACATGGGAAAGATAGAGGCCGAAATGAAAATCTGTGTGAATCCAATTGAACATGATAATCCTCAATTGAAACCATGGGATTAACACCAAGAGAAAAATGAGGGATTGTGTCAAACATGATGTACTGGCGACACTCACAACCATGGGGGCCAGCACATTAACAGCAAGGCAGAACACACTCTTTGTTCACTCTTTAATAATGTCCGTATGAGTAGGAATATTATTATGACACAGTATACTGGTTGACTTTATCCTAGCACCAACTATTTTCTAATAACAGGTGTTCTTAAGGTGTCTTCATTTGACAAGAAACTAGGCTTTGATAGGGTTTCTATCTGTCCCTTTTGTGGTTTGGTATGGTTTCTCTAACATTTAACCCCTGTTGTTGAGACTTTCTAGCTTTCATAGTGACATATCCTTGAACATGTATCTGGATAAGGATAAAACATTTACATTTACATAAACACAAAGACCTTGTCATCGTGGATATAATTTCAGCTCACTGAATACTGAAAAATAAAATACTGGAATTCAAGTAGATTGGAAATGACTTAAAAGATAAGTGTGCCGTATCGATAATAAAAGTCAGAAGTGAGCTGACACGTCTCTATTTCAGTATATTACATTTGACCCTAGCACTTATTCTACAACACTCAAAGAACAAATGCTTTGGTCTCTCCTATAGTATAGTATTTGAAATCCAAAAACCAGCATTAACAGGATTTGTGAATTATGGCACATTTCCACTGCAGCGGGGTAGCCCCGTTTACGCGTCCTCGCTCAGGCCTCGGGCTGCCTCGCTGGCCGTCCGAGGCCGTGGCGCATTTCCATTACAGTTTAGGACCTGGGGTAGCAACGCAGTGTAGGCGGGGCGATCAGCTTTTTTTTTCCTTCACATTTCGAGTTGTTCCGTCGAGCTCCCGCTGGATTTTATCATCCCCAATGAGATGTAGGAACGTCGTCACCTCCTCGGTCGACCACGGTGTGCTTTTCTTTGACGTTGCTATTTTTGTAGCTCCTCCGTTTACAAAAATGCTGTGTATAAAAATGCTGCAAGCTTGCTTCTAGATATATATGCGACGCTAGGGATGATCTTGCGCGCGATCTTGTGACGATTCTCTCTGACCAATCAGCAGTCGAGAGTGTTGACGTCACTAGTTCAGGCCTGGCCTGATAGAACCACGATTTTATGGGGCCGGAAAAAGAGGGGGAAAGTACCCGCTAGCCGGTGCTACGCTATATGGAAAGGCCACCAAAAACTGGCCTGGCCGCTTGAGGACGATTTAAGGACGCTTAAACGGGGCTACCCGCTGCAGTGGAAATGCGCCATTAGTGGTTTTGCTCTGCCAGCTTTCTAGAAATCTGTCTGGGTACCAAAGAAAGAAAGAAACTGAAGTGTTGACTTTAATGAAATGTATTATGTCAACAGATTTCACATAACTGTTTTAGGTCAGTTGAAAGCAATAATATCAAGTTTGAATAAAAAATATTAGGTTCAACTTGATATTATTGCTTTCAACTAACCTTATACAGTTATGTGAAATCTGTTGACATAATACATTTAATTAAAGTCAACGATTCCGTTTTTTTCAGTGTTTAGACCAGTGTAACTTTGTTTGGCTCCACTGTGATTTGCCACAAATCCTGTAAGAGTTCATCTGAGGTCTGGAGCTGAGGTAATATCAATAAAACTATTGGAGTTATCGGAAATATAAAGCGCATCACTTCCTGTGTGGCAGAGACTTTCCCAGCCAAACCCATCAGTCAACGCTGGTTTAAACAGAACATATATATTTTCTGTTTTTACGCACGTTTTGGAAACATTTTCATTTTGCTTACTGTGTCCCATTTTTACTACAACTATATCAACACAGTTTATACATAGAAAGAAGAAAAAAACTCCAATTAAGATACAAGAAAATGCAAAAAATCAACAACAAAAAACTAAGAAATATTGATGAAAAAAAAAAATATATAAAATAATAATAATTTTAAAAAATGAAAGGGGGGGGGGAAGGGGGAGAGTTGTGATACTGGGATGATTCAGAAGGTGTGGGGACATTTTGATCACTTCCTTTTATATAATATACAGTAATAGCAGAGCCTGAACGTTTAATAATAGAACAATTAATCAGTTTAAAGTCTTAATATATATGTTAGTTGTTCCAACTGATAGATTTCCCACACCTTCTCAGCCCATTAATTAAAAACATACTCTCTTCACACAGGCTTTATTAAATAACTGTTTTGCTGAAACCTTGTTTTTGTGGACATGTTGTGACGTCTTTAAAGTAATTATCTTTAATGTCTCTGTCGTCCCTCCTTAAGACTCAACAACAAAAAGTCCAATCACGGTGCTCAACAGTTTGCACGGCAGCCGCTTGGGACACAATATCCTCTTGTTTGTCGAGCGTCTCTCTAGTTGCGTCACTCAGTGCTAAAAATACTCCACTACCAACCCCCTCCTTTCCTCCCTCCTCCCTCTCTGCCCGGCGCACATTGTGTTTCGCCCGTCTGATCCACGAAGGGGAGGGGTGGGGGAGGAACTCTAATCCTGAGTGTTGTACTGACTTCAGCAGGCAGCGATGATGTCATTGTGATGTCAATGCCTGTAATTGTAATCGTGCAGCAAAGTTGACGAGCGACCGCGGTGGTACAGGCAGAGCTGAGAGGGGAAAGGCAGGAGAGGAGACCGAGAGGTTGTAGTTAAAGGTAGAATAGAAGAGTTTCTGTGCTGAGGTGTTCTGCTGCCGCTGGGCTGGATTATTGGAAACAAGAGATGGCTGTCACTGGGGATGAGACTGAGTCAGGTAAAGTTACTCTCATTCAGGTTTCTTGAAGTCACTTTTCTTGTAGATTGTTATGCAGGTTTCACAGCGATGTTTTTCTAGGGTTACAACCAGCAAACAAGCGGTGAAAAGAACATGTTGTTATGGTATTTGGATCGTTTTTCCCAGTGTAAGAGCAAAACCTTTCCACAACATTTGAAATGATGTTCAAACTTTTACTTAGTGCATTGTGAAATGTTGCACACCACAAGATTCTGTCCTTCCTATTTCACCACAGGACAAACACTATAGACAGTTTAGGGTTCTGTTTTCCTTGAAATGAAACTAAAAGCCGATCAAAAGAAAAAGCGTTTGGTGAGTTTGCTCAACTATGTTCCTGTCGGTGTGTTTCCCGCTGTTACACACACACACACACACACACACACACACACACACACACACACACACACACACACACACACACACACACACACACACACACACACACACACACACACACTCACTCACACATACATAGAGGCTGTTCTGTGAGACGGCTGTCAGGCAGAAAGGCTAGAGAGAGAGGGGGGGGGTGGGGGTTATGATAGTTGTCGGTTTGACGTCACTCCAGTTTCCTGGAACCGAGGCCAGGCAGGGAAGAGAGAATGCAAAACGGGCGAGTGAGACGCACACACTGACGTCAGCGCAAGTCACTCTGTTATCACAACGACAGAGAGAGAGAGAGAGAGACGTGCGAGTGTGCTTGTGTGTGTGTGTGAGTGAGTTTACACCTGCTGTGACTACTTCTTAGTGTGTGTGTGTGTGTGTGTGTGTGTGTGTGTGTGTGTGTGTGTGTGTGTGTGTGTGTGTGTGTGTGTGTGTGTGTGTGTGTGTGTGTGTGTGTGTGTGTGTGTGTGTGTGTGTGTGTGTGTGTGGAGAAGAGAGAGGGGGAGAAACTTCTCAGGAACAAAGTGAAGCAGAGAACTCGTCGAGGCACAGCAGGCAGAGCTGTTCACAGTTGAGTCATTTTTTTTGATGACTCAACTCAAAACAGCTCGTCAACCACATCCAGAAAGCAGCTTTTTTCAAGAGTCAGTAGCACTGTTTCTGACTTTCAACTACAGGTCAACAGCACACACACCAGCTGAGATGAATCCTTGATCATAAATGAGGTGATTCAAGAGCAGGATGTATTAGTGCACACAGGTACTGCTAAAAACCAACAGTGCTGTGTAGAGATGTGGACCTGAATAATACTGTACCTTAAAAGAGGAATTTTATTTTTTTGGAGCCAGCATCTTGTGGACATTAGAGGAACTGCAGTTTAAGGTCACGATTCAGTCAAAGGTTTCACTTCTTCATTGTCTTTTTATTTCTTCATTATTATTTCTTCACGCTTTTAATTGTAGCCTTGTAACAGGCTGGATAACGTACAAAATAATCACATTTTCTGTCAGTTCATTTGGCAATATTGTTTATGATAATAACCTCTGGCAAAGACACAAATGAAGACCATTCTTTCAACAAAAAAGGTCACGTCTTGAGAGCAAATACCTGGCGAAATGGGAAGGGGCAGAATGGGAAGGGGCAGAATGGGAAGGGGCAGAATGGGAAGGGGGTAAAATGGGAAGGGGCAGAATGGGAAGGGGCAGAATGGGAAGGGGCAGAATGGGAAGGGGAGAACACTTTGTTGTCACAGGAAATGAATCTGTTCAGGCAGGACGGTAAGAGCTCTTGGCTGAAGTTGCTTTCTAACAACCTCTGGTGAAAATAAATCATGTTAACTTTCATTCAAAGTTGAAAATGAATCCTGTGTTTAAAGAGATATTGAATAAAATTGAGACATTTGAGAAAAATAAAAGTTTGTGAATTCTATTTTTTATTATTCAACAGAAATAAGGGCAACAGAAAGTCACTGGACTGCAGGTTGTTAATGTTTTCATGCATCTTTCCCGACAGCTGCCACAGGAGACATCCCTGCCTATCAGCTGCGTTCACCAAACTCGGGCCTGGCTCACAGCATCATGATGGCTGCGTCACCCGACAACATGCAGAGCCCCCCCCCACCGCACACTGAAGCCATCACCCTCAAGAGGGAGGTCCGCCTGATGAAAAACAGGTAGGAGCTGCTGCTGATGAAGAGAAATGAGCTTCATTAAACTATTATTAAAAAATGCAGACACTGAGGCTTCATCACACGGAAGAGTATTTAGAGTGCTAATAGAGGATGATGTGCTTTTGTAGAATGATCCGGAAGGTTCAGAATCAGAATAACTTTATTAGTCCCACAGAGGGGAACGTTACATTGTTGCAGCAGAAAAGAGCCAAAGACAGCTTAATGTTAACTAAGAAGCATGCATAAAAAAGTAGTAAAGATAAAACAATTATAATAAAAAAGTTCCCTTAGCGAAAAGTCAATGGGATTGTTCCGCTGGATTGTGGAAAATTGCAAAAAATAAGATCCACAGGTATACGACCACGGGTCACATGACTTCACGCCACCTCCGATAAGCTAAAGGTGGCTAACGTTCGGCGTCTCATTTAGACACTTGTTAGCATCCGTAATTGTTAAGACACATAGAAGCCCAATTTTAGCCAGACACATCTTTAAGAAATAAACAAAGTACGAAAATCTCTAAATCAATCAATCAATGTTTATTTATATAGCCCAATATCACACATGTTACATTTGTCTCAGTGGTCTTCACAGTGTGTACAGAATATCAGTATGACAATACGACACCCTCTGTCCTTAGACCCTCTGTCCTTAGACCCTCTGTCCTTAGACCCTCTGTCCTTAGACCCTCACATCGTAAAAGGAAACACTTCCAGAGAAAACCCACAGTTTAAGGGAACATGGGAGAAACCTCAGGGAGAGCAACAGAGGAGGGATCCCTCTCCCAGGACGGGCAATAGATGCCGTGTGTAAATCGAAGAGATAATACATTTTACAGCATATAGACCAAATGTTTGGAAATGCATGTGTCTGTAATAAGAAGATGAATCCACGACGATATCAATAGCCATCAGGGAAGCAGTATGATGAGAGTCAGGCAGGACCACAGTGATAAAAGCTTTTGTTAACCATAGATCTCATTTCAGAGTATAATCAAAAACACATTCACAAAACCGTTGAGTTCAAGATTAAGTAACCGTTAGTTGTAAAAAAAAATCCTGCACCTCTCTATGGCTTTAAGAGTCTTACTTCCTGTCCTGCAGCCACTCTGTCAGAGGTTATTTCTCCAATTAGGGAATCTCATTTTGGGATAAAAGTGATTTCACTGGTCAATAGTGAAAGTGTCTCGACTGTGGTTTCCCAAAACAACAAGACAGAAATACTGCAAAAGGTCAAAGCTGCAGCAAACTGCTTTTATGGATGTGCAAATGTTTTATTGATCGTTCAGGATTGATAGAGGGAAATACTGACGCACATAAGGCAAGGCAAGTTTATTTATATAGCACCTTTCAACACAAGGCAATTCAAAGTGCTTTACGAAAGACATTCAGACAAAGGCATTTAAAATCAGTCATTAAAAAGAACAGATAATAAAATAAACATTAACATAAACACAAGGTTGTCTGGGAGAATACAGACATAACAGCAGGAGCAGCTGAACAATAGAAGTCCCTTGCATTCTGCATAGCTTGCATTGTTTCTGGGGACTAAATTGCATTTTCATCAAACATCTCTCCCCCTCTTTCCTCTCCAGGGAGGCAGCCAGAGAGTGCCGCAGGAAAAAAAAAGAGTATGTCAAATGTCTGGAAAACCGCGTGGCTGTGTTGGAAAACCAAAACAAGACCCTGATTGAAGAGCTGAAAGCACTGAAGGACATTTACTGCCACAAAGCAGAGTAGCGGTTTGTGGTCATGAGCTGAAGACAGTGGCGTTTACAAGCTGCGACAGCAAATAGAAAAAAAGACTGGAACTACTTTGACCGTCTCTGCTCACTCAGGCCTGGGTTACGCTGAAGTGTTTCGGGGGGTTTAAACAGCTGGAGCTGGCCGGTTTTCGCTCTTGTTCGTATCTTGTGAAGACTCAAGTGTCGTTGATGTTGCTTTTGTGCACCGGCCAATGAGAGCCAGCTGACGAAGAGGAACAGGAAGAGGAAACACGGGCGCTTCCTGAAAATGTACCGTTTCGAGTACAGAGATTAACGGAAAAACATTGGCGAGTCAGCCAGGTCGCTCTACCAGCAGTTCCTCTGAGGAGACGAGGTGCCACTATCAGCTGCAACTCATCCCTGTTTTCCTGATCCAATCTGCAGCATGTACGCTTCTGTTCGCAGCGATTCCACGCATTCCTTCACCCTAAAAAGCAAGAAATGTCTTCAAGTCATTTAAGTAACATCCTGGAGTTTTTGATTTGGTTTCAAAGAAAAAAAGAACATTTGCGATGAATATCCTTTTATTTTTAGCAGACGACACAGAATATAATATATTTTAAAGAAATAGAAAGGGGCATTATCTGAATCAAGTTATTTTAAAGTGAGTCGATTGTTTAAAAATGACAGAGCACAACTGCCCTTGAGTCAAAGCACAGAAAGTGTGGATATTATCAGAATGTATATTACGTTTATTTTAAGAATTTCAGTCCACAAGTTTATTGTATATTCTGCAAAGCATCCTCTCGCTTTACTGTCATGCAAGCTTCAGTCTTATTTTTCAAATTATGGATATCCATTGTGTTTTAAAACTGTATTTGATTATGGCTGGATATTGAAATGCTCTGTTTAAAGGGTAATGCCAATTTCTCTTCTATTTTTTTTTAATGTAAAGACATTTTATTTGAATGATAATATATCCTCTTCCTGTTTCTGGTGATTTTGAAAAGTGCTTGCTTTCTCTGTTTCTGTAGTTGTTGAGTTTGTTCCAATAAATATATTTTATTGAAGGAAAAAAAACACCTCCTAATGTAACAGACGATCTCTCACGACTGCCAAAGCTCTTTTAGTAAAAGACAAGTCTTTAACTGCGGTTTGTCTCGGTGACAACACAGTGATTCATCCTGTGGTCGTCTTGTTGTGTAACAACCAGATGACCGGTATGTTTTGTATTCACAGATAAATAGCCATTTTGTGAAAGTCTACGAAAACACAGGTGATAATACAATTCAGGTCTTTTCTTGATATCAACTCGGTCAAGCTGATCTAGTTGTGGATTCTTGCTGTTTCAACCCTTTTACCAGTTGTTCTCCTCTCAGTTTACTTCCTTGTTTGAATTGTAAAACCAAAAATTATTTTTTTGTTTGTCAAATAAAGTATTAAAATGTGACATCACTGTGACTTATTGCTCACCCCACACTCAACACACTTTTTATTCATTCTACCGTGTTGTGTACTGTTTTTATTTTGTTCCATTCTAAATGCTTGTAGCACTTCGGGATCTGAACTCAGATATGAAGTGCGTTATAAATTAAACACATTATTATTATTATTACTCGTCTTAAAATTAAAGGTAGGGTCAGGGCCGTCCCTCCCTACAGGCCGATCATGCAGACTGCGTGGGGCCTCACCTTGGAGGGGGCCTCAACTGGGGCGGCATGGTTTCGCCGCTGCGAGGCTCCACTAACCCCCCCCCCCCCCCCTTCAGAAACACTTTTTTGTTATATTCCATGGAATGCTCTTAACATCCCGATAGCAATGAATAAATTAAATGGTTTGACAAAAAATCCAGAAAGAAATGTCATCTGTGGAAGCCGTGGCGCTGTAAAAAGCACGACCAATCACCTGAGCCGGCCCGGCTAAAGTAACTGGATGGCCTACCTGCCTGTCAGCCTTCTATCTGGGCACAAATTTATCTCGTGCCCTCATTGGTCATGTGCGCGTTCGTGTGTTGGAGGAGGGGCTCTGTGAGGAAGTCTGAAGGAAGAGGCAGATTTTTATCGGCTGCGTAGTTTCAAATTCTAGCGCACTCGAGCTGGTTTCTCCATTCTTACCTACTCTACCTTTTAAAGGGATTAAAGGCAAAGTTGCCCACGAAATGTTATGTTGAAAGATAGTGTCAGGATTTGTTGTACTTTTAAAATACAATTTTGTTATGAAAAGTTAGAATGTGTTTCCTATATTGCATCCTCACTTAAAGATTAAAGATTACATGTTCATATGTTGTACCTTTGAAATGTGAATTCAATGCAGAATATAGTGGAAACGTTTTTGACTACACTCAATTAAAGTAGCTTTTGGGGGTATTCCCCTTTCCTGTAGTGTGTTATAGGTTTGCGTGCATGTGATTTTGAAAGGATAGACTATTCATTCAATAAAGTTGACTTTGACTTCTCTCATGTTGAAGCCCCCTATTCAAGAGGAAAGATTTACACCTTTAATACCCAAAATGGAAAGGAAAATAGACGTCAACTTTATTGGAAAACAGTCTGCAACACAGCATGTAGTCATTTGACCTCTATTAACTTTGCTGTCAAATCATCAACCCCATTTCCATTCTTCTTTTAAAGCTCAATACCCTCATAGAAATAAGGCCACAGTCACCCCACACACAGTAAACACAAGTATGCACTGTTGTTCCTGCATAGTGACTTATTGCATGCTTAAGGCGGTGCAGTAACCTATGTCAGTACAGACTGTAGAAGCATGTTAACGTTTATTTTGTCTCTTCTTACACCAGTGTAGCTCAATGGGAGGGGTGGTGCCTTTTATTGTTTACCAGCCGTGTTATTTACTGTTGTCCCTAAAGGTCACATTTGACATAAGTTCCATGTTAAAAGGAGACACAAACTGTGGCTTTTACTTTGGTACTCTGCCAACAAAGCATCCCATTGCTCAACGTCTGTATCGCTTCATTTCTCACCGAATGGGATTGGAAGAAAAACCGAAATTTCATAAACCAGTGAAATGAATGTTTGAAGGGCATGCACATGAGAATGAGTAGTTTCCATAGCAACTCCTGGTGATAAAGCATTGACCTCGAACTCGTGTTGACTCACAGTGATGTGTTTCTCCATCTCATAGGTGCACATAAGCCCTCTGCATGAACACAATGTATCATGTTGTCCCATATACATATTGTATATGAACACACACACACACACACACGATACACTGCATGGAGACAAACTGCAAAAAGAAAACTCTCACACACACACACACACACACACCCACACGCACACGCACACACACACGCACACACACACACACACACACACACACACACACACACACACACACACACACGATACACTGCATGGAGACAAACTGCAAAAAGAAAACTCTCACACACACATACACACACATACACACACACACCCACACACACACACACACACACACACACACACACACACACACACACACACACACACACACACACAGTAGGTTGTTGAAAGGGAGAATGCGTCCGTGGAAAACCTTGAAACTAGAAGAGACGCTCCTCAACATTGAATCATCTCGTTTATCTCTTGACTTTTCTTCTCTTGAAATCTTACATGAATCCGTAGATTAAAATGACATCAAGCGTGGTCTCATCCCTTTTTTGTGGACTGTTTAACTTGTGAGTCAAGTATCAGTCAATGGATTTAGGGATGCCAAATTGTGGAATGCCTTTTCCCACGTGACTAAACCCTTTCCCTCTATAACACGTTACAGAAAACGCCTCAAAGACCCTTTATCTACCTTTTTAAACTGCTTTTTTCTGTATATGATATCCGTGCATCCATGTCGTATTACCTTTTATGTTTTGTTTTGTTTCACTCAAAGACATTTAACATGACTATCGCTTAGCTTTCAATGCTGGTGTATAAACCAGTATCCCCCTCACAAACAAGCACACACTCAAATCCACACAGATCATGTTTCCTTTGTTTAAATGTTATTGTTGTTGCTTTATGCCACCACTATGTCATTCATATTATATTTTGTATATTAATCTTATGCTCTCTACAACAATGTGAATGTTAACTTTATTAACGGGAGGCTTCATAATAGCCAATGGGTTTTCCGCCTCGTCCGGCGCTGTACATTATTTTTTCATTTTGAATAAAACAAAGTTAAAATTTGAAAATGAACAACTGGGATCATTTAACCTCACATTCATTTCATCTATAAAAACAACAACATTTCAAATAGTTAAAAATCAGTATTTTTTTAAAAGTTTCAGTCAAAGTGGTTTGCAGTTTAAAAGTGAAAAGTGTTATTTCTAAAATTGACCGTATTTACACAACCACTAAATCCACAGCATTTATTTTCTCCACCCTGCGAAGCCTGGAAGTTTCAGTGAGGGAGGATGCTTCATATTTCTTTCTGTTGCCTCTCAAACATCCTCACGGCCTTTGGTCAAGGGAGTGGAAATTTCCACCCAGAAACTACAGATGAAGCAGTGGGATGAAACCTTCCACCTTCACAACATCAACAGCACTCCGATATGGTGGTGAAGGAGGACCTCTGCTGTTCAACACACACTACTGCAACACACACTGCTGTTCAACACACACTGCTGTTCAACACACACTGCTGCAACACACACTGCTGCAACACACACTGCTGCAACACGTTACACACACTACTGCAACAGGAAGCTGAACGACTGGAAATAAACACAATCTGTAAAAGGTTTTGTTGTCTGAACTGCTGCCTTAAAAATACGACCAATAAAAACTTCAAACAACAAAAGTACTTTCAGTGCGTGTATGAAAATGTATTAATCCTAAATTATTATGTACGTTCAAATATACGTGATATTGCCACGTTAAGGGCCTCATTATGCTTAAAACGGCGTGAGAAAGAAAAGAAGAAGACATATGTGTGGCGCAGTGGGCTAGTGCGTTGGTGTTGGGTTCAGGGGAGCACAGGTTCAAACCCCACTGCAGTCAGCATGTCGTTGTGTCCCTGAGATAAAAGCGTCTAACTAGTGACATGTAATGTAATAATAATGTAATATGTGGCCATGTAGAATAAGTATATGTGGGGTCTATTGCATTTAATAAAACCATTCAAATGCATTACCATGGGTTGGTCAACAGATGTCACTATTTTCATTGTTTTAAATGCTTCAAAATAGTTCTTTATTTTACGTTTTGTTTGAATCAGAATCAAAATACCCTTTTTCGTCCCACAGAGGGGAAATATGCATCTGTGTTCATATAGCTTAATGAACACAGATACTTTAAGGTAGGCTATATCATGAACATTTATAGGCCTATCTATGCAAATTAATGAAAACGACATTATTTGTGTTGCTCTTTAACTTAAAAACTGCTCATATTAGGATTGTTTGTGGATCCTATAAAAAAAAACGAATAACAGGGAAACAGGAAAAGAGGAACCAGGATGTAAAAAAGGCGATACATATATATTGTTATACAGTACATTTTAGATTAAAATGACTCCAAATTAAAAGTGGAAAAGCTGTGCAGTCAACACATTGTAGATTAATAGAAATGTGTAAAACATGTGACAAATATTGTTTTTTTGTATAGAAGAAATAAATATGCAAACATAAAACAAGATGATGGCAAATGACAGTATCCAAATTAAAAGTGGAAAATAAACGTGATACAAATGCAATAAATCATGAAATCCTCTCTGTTATCTCTCTCCTCTTATCTCTTCTGCTCTGTCAGTTGTAACCACCCCTTTGAACCGGAACCGTTTCTGGGGATTTGCAGCCCTCCCTATCGGTCTATCACCCTGACAGCAGCCACAACACCGATCCTCACAGACACAGACACACACACCGACGCCTTCTTCCACGATGCCTGGGATAGATGTGGCAGCTCTGCGCCTCTCATGCATCGGATCCCCCCGGTGGAAGTGACATTTCCCCCTCAGTGACAGCCTCTCTCACACACCGAGCTCCGCAGGGATCCGTGGTCGCGGATGCACCCTGCACACTAACCGGGGATCTATGGTGACTGACCGAGCCATCGCTCCTCTCTCACCGGGAAGGATATTTGGGGGTGGATAAAGGGGGTTGAAGATGGGGAGCACGACCTCTTGCTGTGTGTCTGGCAGCCCAAAGCTCCGCAGAAATGCGCACTCCAGGCTGGAGTCCTACCACCAGGAGTCGGATCAGAGCCCGGAGGAGACGGGATGCAACCTGCAGCACATCAGCGACAGGGAGAACGTCGACGGTAAAAAACTAACTATATACTGTCTTCTCATCCTGTCACCAGGCCAACATTCTGAGAAAAACGTAAACAATCTGAGAAAAATGTCAATTTCTGAGAAAAATGTCAAATTCTGAGAAAAATTTCAAATTCTGAGAAAAAGTCACATGTGAGGGGAATATGACAGCACACATGGAATACAGTTATGGGGGAC